CATGACCCACTTTATGTCCTGGTGTTGTTTGGACAAATTTGGAGATGGATGATGGGACTTGCAGTACCTTTGCTCACTTCCTGAGACCACTGAGACCCTCGCCAATGACTAATCAAGACTAAACTTGGCACATGGAGCTCCAATGACCCACTCTACAACCTGGTGCAGTTTGGAGGAGGACAGACCATGGATGATGGGACTTCAAGTACCTCCACTCCCTTCAAAACATTGCTGCAACCCTCTTCTAATGACCGATCAAGACCAAACTTGGCACACAGAGCCCCCATGATCCACTCTACATCCTGCTGCAGTTTGAAAGGGGATGGACTTTGGATGATGGGACTTGCACTACCTTCACTCACTTACTGACACCACTGCCACTCTCATCTAATGACTGATAAAGACCAAACTTGCCACACAGAGCCCCCATGATCCACTCTATATCCTGCTGCTGTTTGTAGGAGGATGGGCCATGGATGATGGGACTTCAAGTACCTTCACTCACTTCCTGAAAATAATGCAGCCGTTATCCAAAGACCAATAAAGACCAAACTTGGCATACAGAACCACCATTACCCACTTTCTCTAATAACCCGGGCAACGCCGGGTCCCCAAGCTAGTAAATAAATAATTGTGAGAGCTGTTCAGCAATGGACTCTCTGCAGTGGAGTGTGGTGGAGGCTCCTTATTTGGAGTCTTTTACACAGAGGCTGGATGGCCATCTGTCAGGGGTGCTTTGAATGCCATTTTCCTGCTTCTTGGCAGGGGGTTGGACTGGATGGCCCACAAGGTCTCTTCCAACTGAATGATTCTATGATTCTAGGTTCCAGTTAGTCAGATATGATTTAACTTCCTTCCTTCATTGTAAAGTACTTAGCATCCATTATTAGTGCAAAACATCTATTGACTGAAGACAAAAGAAGTATGCCTTTTCCTATTCCATCTCCAACTGGAACTGCAGTTGGAGCTTAATGAGAAAGACGGGCTGATTTAGGGGCTGTGGGCCAGGTTACAAGGAACATCAAAACTCTCCAAGAGGGAGGAGGGCCAGAGAGGTCATGGGAAGAGTCCCTTGGCATTTGCAACCAGAATATATATTTTTGTTATTATACATTGTACAATGGCACCCAATGTCACATCAATGCAAAACCATGGAGTTCAATATAGTAACAGCTCTCAGATAAAAGCTATCTCCTAATCTGTTTGTCCTTGACTTTGTCACCCTGTACCGTCTGCCAAATGGTAATAATTAAAAAAAATATGCTGAGTGAGATGGATCTCCAAGAATGCTCCCAGCTTTCTTAAGGCAGAGGGAATTATAAAGTTCATCCAAAGAGGGGAGAAAGAGGGCAACCAATGATTCTCTGGGCAGAAGTGGTGACCCTTTGGAGCATCTTCCTATCAGCCACTGTGCTGTTACCAAACCATGCACAGATGCAGTTGGTGAGGGGACTCTCTATTTGCCTCACTCTGTCTGATGGAAGGACTGGCCCTTGGTTCCCCTAAGAACCAGAAACACAAGACATTCATGCATGCACAGGTCTTCTTTCAGAACTGGATAGAAAGATTCCTCATGCAAATGACTGAATAATTTTGTTTTCACAGTGTGTAGCCATCCTTGTCCTCAGGTTCTAGTCAGAAGAGAGCCACATAGTTGGGGAAAGCGGACAGCTGAGAACAAACACTTAGTGCACAATGTGAGGATGGAGCCAACCGGTTAAATTTTGCAAAGCCTGTAGAAGCACCGCATTTTGTGGCAAGAGAGAACAAGAGAGAAAGAAGCCAGTCATCCGTGCCACATTAGCCCTATAGCCCAGCTGAGAAATGACAGTGATGTCAACTGTAAAGGCAGCTGAGACCAGCAGACTTTGGCAAATTAGAATATGAAAAGGAGAAGGAGGGGGAGGAGGGACATTGTTCTGGGTGCTCTAAGCATACTTGTCTGCCTGCAGAAATCCCCCTTTCATTCTGAAATGTGTCACCAGAACAAAGCAATCAGCACCAGCTCTCATAAGATAGATGGACCCATGGAAGGATGGAAAGACAAACGGAAGCTGTTTTTCCCCTAAGAATTCATTTTGAACCTCGCCTTTCTGTCCCCAAACAAAGCACTCAGGGCACTAAATACAAACAAATAAAACAAGTATAATTAAATACCCAACAGTCTCACTAAAACCCAAGACCGATTGTTATATTTAATAGATGGAGAGACTGATATAGGTGCCAAATACTTTATAAATTTAGATAGCTAGAGTGGGGAATTAAATGTTCCCAAAGAGAAACGTCAAGGTACTTCATAATACAGGCAAGCCAAAGGGCTCTGATAACCCTAGCAAATGCCCCTGTACCAGCTGGCAGTGGGAAGATGGCACATGAAGCCATACAAATACAAAAATGTGAGCCATTTCCTTTAATTCTCAGGAAAGGCTGTAGGTGAGCCTGAATGTAATGTAGCTGAACATTATGCAACATTCCTTCACTGATCCAATATTTCGAGAGCTTTGTGGTTACCTGCTATTGTCCTCAAAAAACACATACATTGAACCCCTTTCCAACTGTATTCTATGTACTGTGCCATTGCATTGTTGTTGTTTATTCGTTTAGTCACTTCCGACTCTTCGTGACCTCATGGACCAGCCCATGCTAGAGCTCCCTGTCGGCCGTCATCATCCCCAGCTCCTTCAGAGTCAAGCCAGTCACTTCAAGGATGCCATCCATCCATCTTGCCTTTGGTCGGCCCCTCTTCCTTTTTCCTTCCATTTCCCCCAGCATCATTGTCTTCTCTAAGCTTTCCTGTCTCCTCATGATGTGGCCATATTTGCCTCTAATATCCTTCTCATGATGTGGCCATATTTGCCTCTAACATCCTTCCCTCCAATGAGCAGTCGAGCTTTATTTCCTGAAGTATGGACTGGTTGGATCTTCTTGTGGTCCAAGGCACTCTCAGAATTTTCCTCCAACACCACAATTCAAAAGCATCTATCTTCCTTTGCTCAGCCTTCCTTACGGTCCAGCTCTCACTTCCATTGTATTAAGGATGTACCAGTCTCTGTTGTACATACGATCTCATCTCCTTGATAACCTGTGAGGAAATTGTGTACACATAATGGGACACGCACATTGCTACGCCACAGATGGGTAGATTGCAGGACACTGGGAAAAATGACTTAAAGTATACTCCCTGTATACAATGGCAATGTGGGAATCAATTCAGAATCTTGTCACAGTACAATTTGGACATGACATCACCAATGTAAACAGGCGCTTAACCCATAGCCGTATGAAAGGTGGGTGCTTCACATAGTGAAATCACTGACACAAAGTAGCTCCCTCTGGATCTACTAGGGCTCAAACTAGAAATCTTTATGTAGCTTTTCCATGTGTTGAGTCATAGAGCTGTGAACTGCAGTAAGAGTAAACTTGAGTTCTGGACTGATTCTATTCAACCAAGTTGGATACTAGATCCTTCTAAATAGAAAGGACTATAGTGAAATGATGCTGGGGACAACAATCATCTGAGCATCTCCGTGCCACTTTTGGCTGTCCGCCAGTCCTAATCTGAGGGTTGCTTCTCAGTCCTGATCTCTGGCTTCCTCTTCAGCTTTGACTTCCAGCTTCATTTCATTGTTCCTGTTTTGTAGCTCTTCTTAAGAGCTGCCCCAAGTCCCAGTCTGACATCTCCTTAGTCATAACAACTTCCATTAGACGAGGGCAGGCCCTGAAAAGAGGTTTGTAATTGTATGTGGCACGTTGTTGCTGTAGCTCTGGTATTTCAGTACCCTGGGAGTTCTTTTAAGAAGTTCTGCTTCGAAGGAAAGTGGTGAGTGGGCAGGGATAGGCAAGAGTCCAAGGATGACTCCTCACAGGAAGATAAGCTAGAGCTAGTGTTGTTTCCTGGGAGACAAACACTGCCAAGGAACAACACTATAGCACCTTTGGACAGATATACGAGTTCAGAGGACCTTGGGGGAAAGAAGAGGTAAACCTTTAGGTCAAGAGAAGAAGGCCAATCAACCACCTAGCCTCATGAACACAAGAATGGCCAAATACAGAAGTGCCCACTTATGAAGGTACTTTTGCAACACTCAGGGAATTCCAGACAGGAAACAATCAGGGACAGCTAATACTTCCCAACAAAGGATCCCCCCAGGTAGAAAGAAGCCAGTCTTTGAAGTTGCAAGGCCATTAAATGCTAATCAAGGTGGCCAATTGCAACATTCACATTTGCCTCAAGCAGACAAGAGTTCTTTCTCCCATCCTGGACATTTATTTATTTATTTACTTCATTTATATACCGCTTTTCTCAGCCCTTAGGCGACTCAAAGCGGTTAACAAAAGCAATTTCAATGCACACATTACTAAACAATTGAAACATTTAAAAACAAAAGCATAACAACAATTAAACATCAATATAACAAATCATTCATGTCTCATCAATAGAATCAGAATCCAATCTCATCATCCGTTATTCCATGTTCCTTGTAATCAATTACACTGCCTAATCGAATGCCTGTTCGAACAACCAGGCAATTTTAATATTTCTTATTCTTTGGAATAATAAACAATTTTGCATTCTTTGTTCCAGTTTCCATGCAAATTAACCTAGGACAAAGTGCCTCAGAACAAGGTGGTTGCATGCATGTCAGAGAGTCTTTGTTACAAATGGATAATTGAAAGGGAACCATTTAACTGCTTTTCACTGACATTTAAGATAATAGATGTCTCTTTTAAACAACCCTCACTGGTCCTGCACTTCGAATTTGGCAAAATATTTAAAAGGGGGTGAGAGAAAATGAGCACTGGATGTGAAAAGACATCTAATTAAATGTACAGTTGTATCTGTATATAATTTGCAAATGTTGAATTAAATGCACCATTGCAATAAAACTATTTGTATTTATACAGACATATGATCTGTTTCTAAGTGTTACCCTTGTATATTATCAAACCTATATATCTTGTTGTGAAATCCATTCACTAGATTGATTTAATTGACTTACTGGTCTTTCAGCCAATCCTTCACAAAAGGGATCTCGAAGAACTCCACAAAGGGGTCATCTGTCCTCTTCGCGTTGTGGCTGAAAAGTGCCGCCATCATATTTTAAAAGATACATGTGAAAATAAAGGTCAGACACATCAGTTTTCATTGCGCTTACAGCAACCAAAGAACTATCTTGCATTTTGAATCTCTGAATCCAAACTCACTTGTATAACCATTCAGTAAGGAAATCAAGGGCAATAAATTTTGTTCTTTTTCTCTGAAAGACAGAAGATGACATAAATAAGAAACAAACTGCACAAGAATAGCATGGAAACTGTTTTCATTTACCCTTCCTTCAAAGAGCTGTTGGAAAGTGGAACGTGGGGGCAGCGGGCTCTATTTTACGGAAGGTGTCTAAGTAGAAGCTAAACAAGGATGCTGTCATTGTTGTATCTTGTCTGCCAGACCCTGCCCTGACCAGGGAGTCAGGCTAAATCACTTCTTACAGCTTTGTGCTTCCAGAGGACTTTCCATGGTGCCACCACCTTCTTTTATCCTCACATAACCTTGTAAAGTAAGGACCAGGTTTGATGCAATGCTTGTGATACAGTTAAACAATCTGGCTACCAGTATTAAAAAACCCTAAAATCAGGACAGCAAATAAAGAGCAACACTTAAAACAGGGGGATTTCAGACAAGAATCAATCAGGGCCAGCTAACACCTTCCAATAAAGGATCCCCAAGCAGCAAGCAGCCAGGCTTTGAAGCTGTAAGGCCATTCAATGCTAATCAAAGTGGCCAATTGCAACATTCACACTTGCCTCAAGCAGACAAGAGTGGGGCAAAAACCTTGAGATATTCACCAGGCATAGCTGTGCATAATGAAGATTGCCAGCCTTCCTTTCAGGGCAGGTCTAGGATTCTTTGGTTTGTTTAGGCAAGCCCCTGGAGAAGAAATTCAGACGCCAACGATAAGATCCACCCTCACCCACCCTCAGATCAGACCTTGTAAAATTGAGTTGGGCAACTGCACAGAAGCTGGGAGCCAATTTCTACCCGATATGCTCTTCATTCACAATGGATAAATATCCCCTTTCTTAGTATATCAGAGAAAATAGCAAGTGATGGCATTTCTAGTTATATTTTTTGCCCATTTACACCTGAAGAAATAAGCATTTTCAGGGGGATGGAGGTCTGAGGGCATTTTCAGTTGTTTCTATGCACTGGGAAGGAGCCTCTGGATGAAAATTTTTGAAAAATGGAAAGCTCCATAACCTTTTCAAGATATCATGATCTTTGGAAAGGCATGACCTTGTCAGAAGCCACAACCTTTTGAAAAATTATGCCATAACCTCTTGATAAAAAGCATGACCTGTTAAGAGTCATAACCTTTTGGGAAAATGCCATTAATGCAAGGCAATTAGGTTTCTCAGCTGTTAAATTGATATCCTAGACATGTCTCTGAACTGTTAGGGACAAAGATATGTCAATGCACAAACATATATATATATATTCAGCAGTGTTTCAGAAGCATTCTTTTTAGTTCCCCAAAAACATCAACTCTCCCTTAAAATAGATTTGGTTTTAAATCATGCTCTCAAGAGGCAAAATAAGTAGACTTCTTCAAAAGGAACATAGTTGGTTTACTCACAAACTTCATGTATTCAGCATTTGGGAATTTGCTTATCAATCTAGTTACAAAGAGGATTTGAAGTACCGTAGTTTCTACGTGTAGGCAACACAGGGCATCTTTCTTAGCATCACCAGGCCAAAGCATCTTTCTGTTCAGAGTCTAATAGAGTCTCTCTCTGTCTAGTCTGAAAGTCCAATGGAGTCTCTAAGCATACTGTTCCTATTGGCGCCTGAAAGCAAACATCAATTCCTACTGAAGTCTCTAATCAAAACTGTTCTAAAATGGAATCTGAGTCCTGAACAAGCCCAGTTCTGATCATATAGTCTGCAGCCCCTCTCACAACAAAGAGTTAAGGTAAAATTGCCTACCAATACACACATATACAATATAGTAAACAATCTGAATTATATACATAACAAATAACTAATAGAAGCTTGAAGAAGGTTGCTATTTCCAACAGAAAATAATGATGATGATGATGATGATGATGATGATTATTATTATTATTCTTACCTGACCTTCCTTGTGGCTCAGGGTGGGTTACAACGTAAGTAAAACACATAAAAACATTGTAAAAATTCTATAAATACATATATTAACATGTATTTCTATAAAATACACAGAACGGAGATTAACACCAAAATGACACCAAAAAGCATGGAAATACAATAGTGAGTGGGCTTCAGAGGGCATAAATATGTGGCTTGGGATGTGTCAGCCACCACACTGCCCTCAATGCCATATTAATGCGAAACCATGGAGTTCAACATAACCACAACTCCAGGATAAAAGCTGTCTCTCAGCCTGGTTGTCCCTGCCTTTGTCACCCTGTACCATCTCCCAGATGGTAATAATTCCAAAAAAGAATATGCCAGGTGAGATAGATTCACAAGAGTGGATGAGACTGTTGAAACAACTGAGGATATGGACCAGAAACCTTTCATGTCCACATACATGCACACATGTGTTTTTTATCTGTATTTCTAAAAGAAGGTCTATTTAATACATCTTAAAATCTACTCCAACATTTGGGGGTTAGGTATCCATTTAAGTTCAAATGGAGCACTCTGCTCTACAAAGTAGGTCAGACACTAGTCCTGAGGGGAGAGGATTCCTATAGGAAGACACTTTTAGTAGTGATCTTTATACATGTAAAAAGAAATGTATTAACTTATTCTCTTTATATTTATAACACAGACAGTAAAGCAAATCTGTTCCTGGGATTACAGCTTCCAAGAACAGGCTGTTTGGATTGAGGGGATTAATGGAGTTAGTGTAAGAAAGCCTGCGAGTTCTACTCTGTGCTTGTGATCATTGGTAACCGCTACTCAAGAGCAACATTTGGAGCTAAAAAGCTTCAGGATTGTACTGTATCTGGTTTATTTTTTTTATAAAGATGCGTACTTGCTGTCATTTCTATCCCCTTTTTTAAAGCATATCATGGTGATTGGTCCCAATGCTAAAGGGATGGGGAAAAACACACTGAATCACAATTAGCCCATCTAATTCCAAATTGAGAAATTCTAGTATTGAGTGCTGACAGCCTTGGGTTCTGTACTGGGAGGAAAGCAAAATCTATACACATAATAAATGTGAAAAGATGTATATGTGTGTGGCTGGGATGTCCACTTACACAGACAAGCTCCTGCCTCCACAAATAGCTATAGCTCCCACTGCTCAGGAGACACCAATGGCCCTCCAATGACATTGCAGGTTATAGCGAGTGCCATGAACATGTACAAGAGCCTAGCCAATGTCCTTCACAAACACCATGCTGACCACCACCCAAGTGAAGGCTTTCGTATGGGGACAATTTCATCCTAGATTTTATGTGTTTCCTCCACCACAGACATCCCAATGTTTCTTACTCTCTCTGTCCACTGCCTCTGTCCACTGCCTCTCCCTTAAGCCTTTCCTACTCTTTTCTATGGCACACAGCAAGCAGAGGAATTGATCAGCAACTGAACATACTAGAGAGGTTTGAGGAGAATTCACCATGATTTATAGGAGTTGTAGGTACTGGGATGTATAGTGCACCTGCAATCTAAAAGCACTCTGAACTCCACCAACAATGGACCTGGAACTAACTTGGCATACAGGACCCTCATGACCAACAAAAACTACTGGAGGTCTTTGTAGGGATTTATATGAGTTATAGCTCACCTACATCCAGAGAGCACTATGAACCCAAACAATGGTGGATCTGGACCAAACTTGTCATGCATACCCAATATGCCCAAATTTGAATACTGGTGGGTTCTGAGGGGTATTGGCCTGGAAATTTTGGAGTTGTAGGTACTGGGATTTATAGTTCATCAGCAATCAATGAGCATTCTGAACTCCACCAAAGATGGAATTGGACCAAACTTGGCACACAGAGCCTCCATGACCAGGAAAATTCACCTTGATTTGGGGGAGTTGTAGTTCACCTACATACAGAGAGCACTGTGAACCCAAACACCGATAGATCTGGACCAAACTTGGCACACAAACCTGATATGCCAAAATTTGATCACTGGAGGGGGGGGGGGGGGGGTGGGGGGGCGGGGTGGTGTGGGGGGGGGTGGGGGGGGGGGACGACTGACCTTCCTTTCTGAGTTGTAGTTCACCCACAACCAGAGAAACTGTGACGTTCACCAATGATACGCCTGGACCTAACTTGGCACACAGAACCCCCATGGCTAACTCAACCTCCTGAAAGGATTTGAAGGGACTGACTCACCATAGTAGGAGTTGTACTTTAACCTACAACCAGAGAGCACACTGAACCCCACTGATGATGCATCGAGAGCAAATTTGGCCAACATAACATAAAGTACTTATGGAGTTCCTCAGGGTTAACCTGGCATGATGTGAGTTGTAGTTCACCCACAGCCTTATGCATTTTGTACATTTAAAAATTGACTTTTTCAAATAACCCTGGCAACACCGAGTACCCAAGTTAGTATTAAATAAACAAATGCCTCTTTGCCTATGAGGACTGCAGGTTTCCAGAACCTCCACTCAAAAACAAAAACAAAAACAATTTTAAACAAAAAGCCTTGAAGAGGTACCTTCACAAAGACACATGCAATATTGAGCATGTGTCTTTGTGGACTGGAAAAGAAAAATGGATGACTGGGCTGGTCGAATGGGGAATTTTGTGGAAACCTGGACAAGAAATGAGGATGAATTGCACCGTCTTATTTTAGATCCCAACGATCCATTCTTATATCTTACTCCTATGAATGTAAAGTTCAAGGCAGCTCCTATGGAGCTGTGTTTTGGTACATATTGAATTGTGGGCCTTCATCATAACAGTTCTCACCAACACAGCCTAAAGAGAGTTCTAAAAAGCCTGAAGCTGTGTTGATCTATGTGAATCAACCAGTTCTTGCTGTTTGCCTCTCCATGAGGAATGGGTTCTTCATCAACCAATGGATCTTGAGTGCTTCTTTAAGATTAAGCCAGCACATAAGACATTACTTCTGCATTGCAATCAAAGTGAATAGCAAGAGCATATTTTGGTAGCAAAATCCATTTTTTCCTTTAAGCTATTTATAAAGACTGAACCACTCTGAGGAAAGTCTGAGTGGAGTATATGGTGGAATATATCCTGAGTCACTATGCAGAGACAGGACGGGATACAAATAAAGTTGTTGTTG